CATACAATTTATTGGACAAACATTCTCTACGTTGGTTAAATACATACAATTTATTGGACAAACATTCTCTACGTTGGTTATATACATACAATGTATTGGACAAACATTCCTTACGTTAGTTAAATACAATTTATTGGACAAACATTCTCTACGTTGGTTTAATACATAAACTTTAATGGACAAACATTCTCTACGTTGGTTTAATACATACAATTTATTGGACAAACATTCCCTACGTTGGTTTAATACATAAACTTTAATGGACAAACATTCTCTACGTTGGTTTAATACATACAATTTATTGGACAAACATTCTCTACGTTGGTTAAATACATACAATTTATTGGACAAACATTCTCTACGTTGGTTTAATACATACAATTCATTGGACAAACATTCCTTACGTTGGTTAAATACAATTTATTGGACAAACATTCTCTACGTTGGTTTAATACATACAATTTATTGGACAAACATTCTCTACGTTAGTTTGATACATACAATTTATTGGACAAACATTCCCTACGTTGGTTTAATACAATTTATTGGACAAACATTTCCTACGTCTCGTAAATAATTAAGATCAAAGTTTTATATTTACACAATTTTAAAAACTTTATTGAAGTCGTTAACAGTTTCCATTTTCAAAGCACACTCTACATGAACATATTTTGACATCGTCATCAGAAGATATTTACAATACACAATAATTTATAGTTATTCCCATCTCATTAGATATTACATTGCATTATTATTTACATACCTTATTGTTCAATACATCACACCAAATATCAATGCACTGACTTGATGGTTCTTCATCAGTTTAGGATTGACTTAGGACTTTAGTTTTAATAACGACGTTTCTAATGTCGTATAGGATGTTAAAGAGAAGCGGAAGTCTTTTAATACACATAATGATATCCTTGATTACAAAATAATGTTTTATGAACGACTCAATAACCTTAATGCTTGTAATTTCCTTACTAAATAACAGCTATTGATTTGGCCCTCTACCTCAGAAAATCTTTAAACGTGATATAATGACGTCAGATTTCTAGGTATGTTCCTCTCCTTATTGTAGCACAACAGACAGGTTTATTTAAACAGCTCGAATGGATAAGTTTATTTTAATAATTATATTCGTTGTGCTTCTCAACACAACAGTTACGTGGGCTGGAATTCTAACGTTTATTTCTCACTTCATTTACAAACTTCCCATAACTGACTGATAGATTTTAGACGTCATTCATTGTGTTCATAATTTATAAGTTTTACATATTTTACTCCTCAATTTTACCAATGCTTCTGAACTTTTTTTTTCTCCAAAAAACTGAAAAACTTCTACTTGCCTTCATCACAAAACTGTCCCTTGTACCCAGGTTTGCAGATGCAAGCTCCCTCTATACACTTGCCTCTACGGTTACAGTCAGGTATTTCACAGTCTTCAGCTGGAACGTTACATTCTGCTCCTTTCCACCCTTCGTCACATCGGCACGTGCCATGCACGTATCGGCCTTGATTGTTACACAAAACAGGGCACACGTCTGGAATGTGGATAACCCATAACATTAGACATCCTGTAGAGGATATAACACTGTTTTCTGCATTGTTAAGAGTGATATGTATATGGTGTTATTATAAGTAGATGATCAATTAAAAACTACTTTTATTGCCTGAAACATGATTTATTGCTGTCAGTTATGTTATTATATCATAATTTAGCGGTTTTTTGTTGATGTGTGATGTCTAGAGAATTCTGGAGTGTTTGGACTGTACTGACATCTCGAATGATCAAGAGAGTTTCGCAAAAAAATATTGTAAAAACATAAACAAACAGTTAATCAGTTATCAAGTTAGTGAGTTATCTACCTCGTTATCAATCGAATACTGAGATAGAGAGGATATTAGTTAGTTTTAAAATACAAGAATAAATTTAACAAATGACAAGCGTTATTTATCTGTGAAGTTAGGCCTATAGTT